TAAAGAACATGGAGAAATTGAAAAGCTGCAAGACCCAGAAGCAGCCATGAGGAAGCAGGTGTGACAGACAGATGATCCCCATGTAACAGGATCACATGGGAAGGCACATGGCCTGGCTGTTGGCATCTTGACCTTCCAGCTCCTGCAGACCACAGAACCCTGGGCACTTCATCTCACATTTTCTACAAACATGCAACTCATATGCAGCCATTTTTCCTCTCCTATGGTCAATATAAAATCCAAAACCATCACTGAGTAAAGCCAACAGCTCAAAGAATCTTCCCACTGAGCTTTTGCTCCTCCTCTTGGAGTGTGGTCATCTCTATTGGCAAGATGAAAAGACTCTGGCTACAAGAGAAACAAAGGACTGTGTTTTGGGTATTATTCCCTGAATAGCTGGCTATCTTTCCAAGTTGGAAGTTGTAGAACTCAGCATTAAAATAGTCGGAATCTCTATTGACTAAGCTACAGCCTTGAGAAAGGGAAGGGACACACACCAAACTGTTGTGGACTACAAAAACCATATTTTCCACAATAAAGAAAGGAAGGAACCGCACACAAATACCAGCTTATAATTTCCCTGTGAAATAACAGACATGTTCCACCCTGTCTAGGCAAAACGATAGCCATAGCTTGTCCCTCAAATATAGCCTAGTCTTGGAAGCAAGCAGATAGAATACTTCTATAAATACTTCTCGTTTATGCATATGTTTAACACTGTAAGTCTATGCATCTCGTTAATCCATCACCAAAAAGCCTGGCATTGCTCGTTCTGATTCATTTTACTTGACATGGCTAAGACCACCTAGTTAAATATTAGATAAATTGGCATATGATTTTCTTATTTTGCAGGCTCTTTGGTGTGATTGGGTGATTGGGGCAATTTGAGGGTGGGGCTCCAAAAAAGCATCCTGCATTTTCAGGCTGTCATACAGTTTCTGCCTTTAACATAATACATTATTTATTGACGGTTCACTTATCAACTGTTCAAGTTACTTATTTGTTTATTTATTTGTTTGCTTATTATGAATGTGGGTACACTTGTGCCATGTAAGGGTCAGAAGACAACTTGGGGGTGTCAATTCTCTTCTTCTACCACATTTGGGCCCTGAGAATTAAACTTGGGTCTTCCGATGTGACGGGCTGTCACCTACTGATTCATCAGAGGCCCATAACAAGAGTTTTACCTTTCGATGCTAAGACACAGCTAACACTACTAGAAGAAACAATCTTCATCAGTTTCAATGTTATGCTACATTTTCCCCCAAGATAAAAGGCCTGTGAGCTTTCTGATCATTTTTGAGAACTGAAGAATTTTATAAAGGTAAGGGGCTGCAACCCACCAGCACAAAGCCCAAATCATCTTTACTCCCCCCCGCCCCGTCCTCCTCCATTTTAATGCCTCTTATGTACTGAGACCCAGACACAGCCTCAGGCTTTCTCATTATCTCCCAGTTATTCACCCTCATGCCCCCATTACATCACTGGGCACCCCCATCCCCGTTAACTACCTTTCTTTATAAACCTTTCCCTGTTCCCAGTAACGATAGCTAGGGTCATGTGTTTTCCTGCATGAGCTCTTTCTGAAAGGCTGGGGTGACTTTTACAAATAGGTCACCTAATGTTTGCCCCCATTGTCTTCCTTTCTATGACATTTCAGCATTATAAGGGGAAATGTATGACTTATTTTATGCCTACATTTCTTCTTAGACTCTAACGTGTTCTAAATCCCTGTGAAGTTAGTATTGTTGAGCCCTCCAATGTCAGGAGGGCAGATGAGAGACAAGATTTCCTATTTTAAAAATTAACATTCTATGTATCTATCTATCTATCTATCTATCTATCTATCATCTATCTATCCATCAATCCATCCATCCATCTATCTATCCATCTATCTATCTATCTATCTATCTATCTATCTATCTATCTATCTATCTATACATGTGGGGAGGGGCACACACTCTGCCATGGCATGTATGTGAAGGTCAGCAGTCTCCTGGAAGTTGGTGCTCTCTTCCAGTTTGGGTCCCAGAGATGGAACTCATGCTATCACGATTGGTGGCAAGCACCTTGACCCATCTCACAGGCCCCTCCATATCTTTTGCTAAACATCTTGCATGGCTCTTGCATCTCAGGTGCTTCGAGGCTGTTCTCTCATGTGAGCCTCTGAATGTGACTTTGCTTACTGAAGCTATGAGAAATTTAGGAGCTCACTACAGGTCTCACAGTCAGAAGGAGGAAGGACTGGCTAGCTAACAAACCCAGAGAAGATGTTTGTCACACTGTGATGTGTCATGCAAATACCTGCCACAAGGCAGGGATGTTTGCCTTGGTGCAGTAGACGAGGCTCCTCAATGTGAACATCTCCTCACTGACATAAATGATTCAACACTTCTTTCATTGCTAAAGTGCTCTCTCGCCAAAATGTTCAATGGTTCTCCAAATCACGTGCGGATATACCGTGCAGGCTGCCCTGAGCTCTGGGCACACCCTGTGGCCCTCCCAGTCAGAGCTGTGACTCTCAACATCATCTGTCACCTTCTGCGCATGTCTCCACACTCTTGCCAAGTCTCGAAGGCTACATCTGTGCCACTGGTCACTCTATAGTTCTTCTGTTACCAAACACTCAACGGACCCAATAAAAGGGGATTGAGAAGGCAGAACACTGCTGCACATTGTGCTCGGCTCGGAGTCTGCTCCATGTCCTCACCACCTCCCCCTTCTCTGCTTTCTCTCTCTGAGCAACACAGAAATAAATATTGGATATTTACTGGGGGTAGTCAGAGGCAGCCAGGAAGTGGGCAAGCCAGCCCAATGTTACCCAGCTTTTGTAGGTGTGTCACTCAGATCCAGATGGCTCTGCACTATTTGGGTCCCTAGTTTGGATTCGTCACTTTCCAGGCGTGTGGGGAGAGCGTTAATTGTGCATTTTATGATTATGAATGGCACAGCCTGGAGAGGTTCCCGTTCTGATTTCCATTTGCCACCATACAGCATCAGTCTTACTCCCCATTACACACCATTTTTTTTTCATGCATTCCTCACTCAGTAGGGACAAAGAAAGGCAAGGACATTAAAAGAACAGGCAAATTCTGGTAGAAATGGTGGAGGGACAGGCATGAGGTTACAAGGGAAATAATACTGCTCAAAGAAAGTGTAATGGCTCTTGCCTGTAAGCCTAGCACTTTGGAAGCTGAGGCAGGCGGGTTATGAGTTTGAGGTCACTGCAGGCTACATAGAAAGTCCAAGGCCAATCTAGGCTACAGAATGAGTCCCTGTTCCAAAAACAAAAACATATTGTTTGAAGGCTTAGTATATTGCATCACAATAATGACTCCTGGTCATGACATCAGGTCTCTAATGAAGTCCCTATAGATCAATGTTGGAGCATGGTTCCACGCTCTGCTTATTCAACAAGGACTTACAAAGTTCCCATCAACAACAGTGGGTCACAGGTTCTCAATGTTAAATGGACAAAAAGTATGCAGGAAGGGCTAGCTCTGTTTGGTAATGGGCCTGAGTTCAAGTCCCAGAGCCTGTGTTTTCCAAAGCCTGGCAAGACTGCATGCCCTTGTATTCCCAGGGCCAAAAAGACAGAGACACGGAAGGACTCCTGAGGTTCACTGACTAGCCTAGCTGAGCCTACCTAAAGATTCAAGAACACTAAAACACAGTGTTTCCAAAAGAAAGTGAATGGCCCCAGAGGAATGCCAAGAGGATGTCATCTGGTCCACACATGCACATGTATGTGTGCCCACACCTACCCTCCCTGCCTGAGTATGCAAGAGCCATGCACTGGCAGATACACACTAGAATAGGCACAGACAGGAGCATGCAGATGTGTTTAGAGTTAAAGCCAGAGCTATGGTGTACTTGCCAATGCCTTTGACCATGGACAACAAATTCTTTGCTTCTATTATATCATGAACATCTGGAACACCACTTTCAATAAAAATCCAGAAAATACCACCTAGGAGAGAAATGATACTTCCCTCCAGCTAGATCCTATGCTTGATGGTTCCTCATCTGCGGAGAGCTTACACGTTCAGTAATCTGAGACCATAAGCTTATCTTTTTTCTTATTGGACTACTTGGTGATGATAAGGCCACTGACTGACCCAGGTAACTCATACTCCTCTGTGATCCGTCACCAACTGTAGCTTGTATCCTTAAGCAGAAATTTCTATCTTCAAGGTAAAGATTTCTTTGGAGAGTGGGGTATCCAGTTTCTACCAATACCCTTAAGAATCAAAAAGACATACAGCCACTGGTGTCCAGAATAAGCATCGGAACTTGATAACTACGGAACACCAGTTCTGCTCATCTTCTGTACAAGAGGACCTATATTGGTAGTTTTAGAACTATGCTTCTGGTAGTGGACCTGGCTCCCTTCAAGATCAGGATTGTCAAAGATCGAGGGATGGAAAAAGGGGTGGCCTAGGAGAGAATTAAGGAATTCAATTACTGGGAAAAGTGTTGCGACAAGCTGTGTTCACACTGATTCTGAAAACTTCATCTCCAAACAAGCAGTGGAGCCTCCTGGCCTTCCTGTGGAATAGTGAAGCTGTAGCCCACAACTCCCAGAGACACTATATCAGTTCTTAAGTGGTATTCTTAAGGTGAGCTATTCTGGGGAAAACAAAACCAGGAGTGGACAACATTCTCAATGTGCTTTATTCTAACTGGGGCTAAAATGAATGCTGAGTAACACTCAAATCTCTTCCTTCTCTGGCAAGCTGGATTTGAGTAGCCCCTTTCTTCAGGTTCCTCTATGATGTTGCCCAGGGTAGAGAAGTTTCTAGAGCGTTCTACAGTTGGTTCCTCCTCTTGCTGTTCTTGCTGCAGGCCTCTCTTTACAGAGATGTCCTAGAATCTTCTTTTGTTCCCTTTTGTTGTATCTCTAGAGAGCAGTACACAGCACAGGACCAGACATGGGCAAGGTAGAGACAGATGGATCCTGGAGGAGAACCTTAGGGATGTCACAGGCAATGTAGGCCTGCATGATCTTCGAGCCTGGCAAGGTAGGGAAGCCAGTCCCTCTTTTTTCCTTTAGAACAAGCAGAATAGTTTCTAGAATGTAGGCTGAATAGGCCCTTCTATAAGGTCCCAGAAATGATCTCCAATTGAGACGCTGGGATAGTTCCCAAGGAGACACAAAGCAAAAGTTTCTAGCACAAGTTTTACTAGCATATCTGATGATGGTAAGAAGAAAGGAAGAAACAGAGAGAAAGGACAGAAGAATGAGAGAAGAAAAGATTATCCAGGGCTAGTGGTGAAAGCCTACAATCCTTGCTACTCTGGTAGCTGAGGCAGGAGGACTACAAGTTCAAGGTCTGCCTGCCTGCCTTAAACAGTGGGTTTAAAGCAGCTCTGGCAAGTTGGTAAGGCCTTGCTTCTAAATTAAAAAAGTTAAAGGGGCTAGGTTTCTGTAGCTACATTCCTCAGAATCCCCAGGACTGTATGATGTTGCCTAGCATGCAAGATGTCTGGGTTTAATGCCTAATACTAGAGGGAGGAAAGGAAGGAGGGAGGGAGAGAGGGAGGGAGGGAGGAAGGGAGGGAGGGAGGGAAGGAGAGTGGGGGAGGGGGACAAAGAGACAAACAGAGAGAGACAGAGAGACTTAAAAAACTGGTGATGAACCCAGACTCAGACTTTCTGATGCTGTGTATAACATGTTTTGAGATAACTTCCTAAGGTGGTTAACTGTTAACATGCATATTTCTCGGTTCAACCTACAAAAGTAGAATTTTTTTCCAGAAGTTGTATGTTCTTTCATTTATTAATAAAAAAAGATAAATTTACTGATGAAAAAAATATTGAAGGACAAAGCTGTTATAGTGTAATCTTTAAAGTGTAAATTCCTGTTCTCAGGTACTCAATGAGTATTAGTTTAGAGGCAATAAAGGTAAGTGTAGAGTTGTAAATGATAAGAATGTGATTTTCGGAATACCTGGGAAAAGAGGTCATTAGCATAAACAATGTGAACACAAGTTCAGTAATTAGAAAGCAAAATTGGTCACAGTCTTGGAGGAGGTTTAACCTCCAGCCCACAATTACTTAAAGACAAAAGCCACCCAACCCAGGTTCTCAATAGACTTCTTGAAAGTTCTCCTTCCTATCATAGAACAATGGCAATGGCTTCTTCCTCAAACCAAGGTTGACTGAGACTTTTCCTCGATAACATTTGCCTACCCATGATTCTACAAAGTGTTCCCCAAAGCTCCAGGACCCAGACAATGCCTCATCTCTTATCTTGGCCTTGGGCTCTAACTTTGCTGGGACAATTAAATCACTACTGTACACATCTGGTATACAAATCTCATGGATTAAGAAACCAGAAACTTGCTGAACCTCAAGGGGACTCAGTTTCCCCAACGGCAAAATCATACTAATGGCACTAGTCACCTGCTGGGCTACCAGGGGATTTGTCAACTGAAGTCTAAAATTACAGAGGCCCAGGGCCATAAAAAGAAGTCTTATTAAGCAAATTAGTTCAGGACTAAAACTAAAAAAGACTAGAGCAGCTGCGGTGACAGCTCATAGTTGGTTAAAACAAAAGAGAGCGGAGACTTTTCCTGACCCTCAAGTCCACTAAAACGATTCCCCTATAATCCAAGAAGAGTTTAACTCAAAAAGAAATAAATATATATAATGTTATCTCTACTCACGTCAGACCTCACTTCTTCACAACTTCTCTAGAGGCGACTTTACCCTCACCCACTACACCATACAGCGTCACTTCAGACCATGTTCAAATATTACCTCCAATTAAAGTAAATGGAAGCTATCTGACGTCCAAGCATGAAATGTGGTCTAATCTAACTGCCACAGGATTGCCATTCCTGTTGTGCTTTGGAAAACTGCGCTGGCAATAGAATGGATCACTCAGCCTACAGAAGACAATGTACAAGTTAGCCTGCCTCCTGATACTCGAGGTTGTGAGAGACAAGTAACACTTTAAGAGAATTAAAACCGGATTTTCTGCTGGTCTGAGGCTCTGACTTTTAGGGGCTAAAAGCTATGAATGAGTTTGATGCAATTTAAAGACCAGAAACAACAAAACAACGAAATGTCGTCCACCGAATATAGCTCCAGACCCCCAGCACTCTGTTGCATGTTTTGATGCAGGCATGCATATCCTGGTTCATGAAGTCTAAGGGATGCAGTTTTGCAGCCAGCTCTAAAGGTACTTTCTCCTAGCCTGTGGTGGCTGCCTTGCATGAACTCTGCAGTTCGTCCTGGGTTTTTTGACTGGTGCTTTCCCACACATCAATCAAAGGGTTTGGAAAAGGATGAGGCTAACCCTTGCTGAGATGGGGGTAGAGGCAGCGGAACCATCCTGCAGTTAAACGCAGCCATCAATCCAAAATTGAGCAAGGACCATCCTATATTTAGAAATGTGCCTGTCTAGATTTTCTGAGCATCCCTCTCATCGGATTTGGGGAGGATTCCAACTGAAATGAGCCAGGAGCAGCAACGGCAGCCTCTGTTGGGATGTTCCATTCATAGGGGAGGCAGCGCCTGGTCCATTCATGGTGGGGTCAGGGAGTCCTTTCCAGGCATTAGATCTGAGCTCTCAGCAAGCCACGCTTCCCAGAGAGCTGGCACGGCTGCATCATTCAAAATGAGGATGTCTATTAAGGAGCCACGGTTAGAGCTATTATTAGAACAGCCATCCCTTGGAAATTTAGCAAAATTTGTCTGAATTGACTGAGCAGTTACTCTGCTAACAAGCAAGGGACCGGAGAAAGGCAGTAAGTTACTGGTTACACACAGGCAACCCCCACACCTTTCAAAGAGCAGCGCTGGGAGCCTTTCCTAAATCCAATGTGCACCAACATCTGGACAGCTGCCTGCAGTACAAACGCATCTCATTTAGCCATTTTTTTAAAAAGAGGGTACTAACGGGGGTTCCCTCCTCTTCTCCCCTCCCCAGCTCCCATTTTCTCTGCATCAAACTCTGCAGCCATCTGGAAAGGAAAAGCCGGTTCCTCTCATCAGGCTCCCGCAGCTGAAGCTACCCGGCCTCCGGCCACCTTGTGAGGAGCCTTCTCCTGCACCCAAAGGACCGGACACTTCCACATGGGGGTTGGGGGTAAAAATCCAACCAGTTAAGCTTATAGAAACCTTTTCTTTTTCCATGGGAAATTCAGAGTGTGGGTTGTGATGCCAAAGGAACGTGTGTGTGTGTGTGTGTGTGTGTGTGTGTGTGTGTAGGGGGAAGGGCTGGTAGAAGGTAGCATCGTATTTGCCCCACGTGGGGCTTGCATTTTAAAAATGTAAGACACGACATAAAAGCCCCTCAAGCCCCCAGAAAAGAAGTGGCAGGTTCCTGCTGCCCAGCCCAGCCCCAGAAAATGGGTTCAGAAGTACAGCATCATCAATCGCCCCCCTGCCATCGCGACCGGGAAACAAAGACACGTTACCTTTTATTTTTGTGCTCTTCTAAAGGAGCCGAGGAACTTCGGATTGAAAGAGGCTAGTCCACGGAAACCAGCTTCCCATTCGTCCCGGGCGCAGGCCCTTGGCCTACCAGGCGGCCTGAGGAGCCCGGCGCCGCCTCCGCCTCCTCCGCGGCGCCCGCAGCCGCCCCGCCGGTGCTGGCGCGCCCGTCCCCGTCCCCGCCCCCGCCGCCACCCCAGTCCCCGCCGCGCCCGCCACGGGGCTCCGTCAGCCCATCGCCCGCTCGCGCCGCTGCTCACGCCGAGCCTGGCCCAGCGCCAGGGCGCACGGCCACCAGCCCGCCCCTTTCCCGCGCGGAGACCCGCCGCCCGCGGCGCCCGCTCCTCCGCATGGTGCCCCGCACCGGAGCCTGGCGGGGTGGCCGCTCGATCGCTTGCGAAGCAGGGACTGAGCGCGCGCCCGCTGGCGGGGCCTCCTTTCGCCACTGGATCCCAGGACAACAATGAGATCTTCTGCCTCCCTAGCGCCCGATCTGGCCAAGGACACCCCAAGTCACCCCCTGAGCCGCCTCCGGGCTTCTTTCCCAGTGCTCTTAGCCGCACCCGCAAGCTACGCAAAGTTAGCTCCGAGACCAGAGAGGTTGCGCGCCTCTGAAGCGCTTAGGGAGATGCTGAGGAGGGTGATTGTGATCTGGAGGACTCCCCTTTTCGTTACAAGACACCCAAACCCACCCAGACCCACACTGAGCCCCTCTCCTACCCTGTGAGCCAGAGAACGCAGATCCGATGACTGGAGGCGCAGCTCTCCCGCCTCGATCTAGTCCAATTGTCTTGAATGTTAATCTCCCCTTAACTCCTGGGGAATGGAGGTTGCTATAAGATAACCCAGTCATAGGGCTATTGTCAAGGATTCGCTATGTCCCTAGGAAAGGGAGACTTCCATTTCAAGAGACTTGGGGGAGGCAAAGGAACCAGCCGGGCTCCCTTTCAAAAACAACAACAACAACAACAAAAAACCCTCAAAAAACAAAACAAACAAACAAACAAACAAAAAACTGGGCAAGAAAAGGAACTTACAAGAACAATAACTCAATTCACATTGTGTGTCTAAATGTTTACTGCCTGATGATGCCTCAAATTGCTTTAGACACATCCCACACACACACACTCACACGAGTTGTCAGAACAGGGTTGATAAAATAAAAGTAGCGAGCACAAGCACCTACTTAGCAAGATAGTACTTGTCTCAATCTTTGTTCAGAACCTAGCCAACACTTTGGTTCTCAAAATGTATCCATCTACCCTCCAGGCCAGAGCTGAGGTCTCATCTTACCCTAGCAGAAGGGGGTCACTTCACTGCCTGCGCGGTTATCACCAGGCTCCCCCAGGCAGTGGAGACTCACGAACTTTTATCAAGAAAATAAACTCTTGCATCTACATGGAGGGTGTCACCTAGGCATTGTTGGCTGGGCAAAAGCTCCAGCACTGAGCATAGGCCCAGGTTACATGCAGTCGTCTCTCCTTTCTTCCAGACTCTCCTCCAAGGACTTCTGGTGAGAATCTCTGACAGTTCAGAGGTCTCGCATCCAACAGGAGAGATACTTTTTACAGGTACTGTCGGCCCGGCCCCTGCGGTGGCTGATGGGTGAGTGTTTGAGGATCCACACTAAGTTTCATTTCAGGTTGAGATGATCAAGAGAGGGAGTCTTGATCTGAGGATCTAAATCTAAGGAATGTGAAACTGGATTTGATTCAGATATTTTCTCTGGATTTACAGAAACGATGATGGTTCTAATCTAATACAAAGCCCCACTCTTTCACAGTGAGTCTGAGGCCCCTTTCCTCTTTCCCGGGACTGTCAGAAGTAGTTTTATTTCTTGGTATACACACCATACACACATACACACACACACACACACACACACACACACACACACACACACACACTTTATTTCTTTTAGTTCAAGGGACTGAACTCACACATGCTAGGGGAAATACTGAGTTGCAAGCAAGCAGGCTGTTTCCAGTTCCAACCTGTTTTGACTGCAAAGCTGAGCTGATGTTCAGGTCTATAACATTTCTTTTCTACTCCCTCTTCAGGTCCTTAGCTGAGACTCCTGCTGCTATGACACCTTGGCTGCTAAGATTCCAATTCCATGGAATGTCCCATCAGTAAATCCTCTTCCAGGTTTGCTCCTGTACAGGGGGTGGCCTTACAGTCACCCCTTCCCTGAAGCAGGGACAGGGTATCCGTTCTCTTTTCTTCTTCTCTTATATTCACGGATCGACCACCCAGCCTGAAGTCAAAACTTCACTCAGAAGTTCCTAGAGAGTGAACTGGGGAGATGGCTCAGCTGGTAAGGCGCTGATCATGTAAGCACATGGCCCTGAGTTTGGGAACCTTCACAACCATCTTCCAGGTCCCCATACACAACAGGCGCGCATTCACCCCCTTGTTACCCAGCAGCTAAGAAGCTACTGGGGTTATATTACTGCTTTGCTTAGAGGCTGTGGTGGCTTCTCATTGACCCCCCCTCATCCTGTGGGTCCTTAGTTTCACTGTCTCCTTTCTGCCCAAGGACCACTCTGATCTTCCCTTCATTTATCTGCCACCATCCAGGCCTGTGTAGCTAGATGCTTGTTACTATCCAGGTTTGGGTTCCACACATGGAGCATAGCCTCTTTGGGAACTCTTCACCACCTTACATCTTGTTTGTTTCCCTCTTAGCACTTGTAGGATCCCAGAGTATGCCCCAATTGAAACATATTTCTTTGTTGTATTTTGAAATGGCAATTGGGGAAAAGGGGGATAACCTGAAACACTGCTCATCTGTGAATGAGATTTGTACAAGCGCACATTAGTTAGGTAGATAGTTTATGCCAAAGGACTTTGACTTGACTAGGAGATCACAGTAAAAAACAAACACCTCAGCGATCTCTCCTGATAAAACACAAGTCATCCTGCCATGGACACCGAAAAACTTAGCTGCATAACAGAATAGTCTTTCCCACTCCCCATAACGCATGCTACCATCTTCTTGAATCTCAACTTTATATCCGGCAATATATAAACTTTACCTATCTAGCTCTTTCCTTGGGGCTCAATTTATGTGGTTCTTGTGTTCAGACACTACATAAAATTTGCTTTTTAAGCTGGCCATGGTGGTCCACCTCTGTAATCTCAGTATTGGGGAGGCTGAGGAAAGAGTTCAAAGCCAGCCTCGCTACACAGTAAGTTAACCTTGTGTGGTGGTTTGAATAGGTTTGGCCGCCATAGACTCATGTGTTTGAATGCTTGGCCCATGAGGAGTGACACTTTTAGGAGGTATGGTCTTATTGGAGGAAGTGTGACACTATGGGGGTGGGCTTTAAGGTCTCCTATGCTCAGGCTCCGCCTGGTGCAGATGATAGTTTCCTCCTGGCTGCCTTCAAATCAAGATGTAGAGGTGTCAGCACCATGTCTGCCTGTATGCTGTCCTGCTTCCTGCCGTGATGAACATGTACTGAAACTTTATAGTGTAAGCCAGCATCAATTAAATGTTGTCCTTTATAAGACTTATCTTGGTCATGTTACACCTTCACAGCAATGAAACCCTAACTAAGACACCTCGTCTCAAACAAACAAGCAGCCCTGACAATAAGATCTCTATCTGGCCTTACAAGGACAGATATTAGTATCTCCCAAACCATGCAACGCATAAAATATCAGGGTGGAGCTCAGTGATGAAGTGTGCTTGTAGCCCTAGCCTAGACTCTAGCTGGATTTATAACAGAAGAAAATAGCCAGGTGGCTCCCTTCATGTGGCTCACTGCCCTCCATCCCAGCTCTTGGGAGGCTGCAGCAACTGCAGGGCTAGCCTAGCCAATGAAGTGATATCCCCTACCCCTTAACTAACTAACTATCTAACTAACTAACTAACTAACTAAACAAACAAACAAACAAACAAATGAAGAGCAGGGGATGAAGATTGGGTTTTTCATTTTCATATGTGGTGGTTTAAATAAGAATGCCCCCCTCCCACATTGGTTCAAATATTTGAATGCTTAGTAATCAGGGAGTGGTGTTATTTGAGAAGGATTAGGAGGTGTGGCCTTGTTGGAGGAAGTGTCATTGGGGAGTTGGGCTTTGAGGTTTCAAGAAGCCCACATCAGCTTTTCAGCTTCTGCTTCTCTCTCTCTCTCTCTCTCTCTCTCTCTCTCTCTCTCTCTCTCTCTTCCCCCCGCCACTGCAAATTAGCCCTTAGCTACTACTCCAATGTCATGCATGCCACCATGTCCCCTGCCATGATGATATTGAACTAGAACTCCTAAAACTGTAATCAAGTCCCCAGTGAAATGTTTTTTCCCTAGAGCTATCTTGGCCACGGCTCTTCACAGCAGTAGAACTCTAAGACACCAGACAAGCCTGATGGCCTGAGTTCAAATCCCTGGAATCCATGTAAAAAGACATACGTGGCAACAACATGTGTCTGCCATTCAGACCAGGACTCCTACAGCAAGATGGAAAGCAGAGATCAGAGAGTTGCTATTCTGACCACAGACCAGCAGTGGAGTACTCTACACAGCAGCAAGGAACAGTAAGAGAGACACTACCTCAAAACAAAGGTGAAAGGGGAGAATCAACCCTCCAAAATCATTCCCATCTGACTCCCACATGATGTCATTGAACACATCCCTGCCTCTTCCCACTCAAGTTAGTAACATTGCTGTTAGATGCCGAGGAAGGTAGGTTCTACCCTAGAACATTGCAAAGATTTGTTAATCACCGCAAGATTCCTGTAAGTGGGAGACCAGTTCATTCCTATTCTGAGATGTCTTCAAAACATTAAGGATCAGGCTTGATATCTTTGTTCACCACATTTGAACCCAGAGTTGCCTTTTAGAGACTTGGAGCTCTTATTGGTCCACGCTGCAGTACCCTCTGGGTGTACTTGAATTTGCTATTAGACACAGTGGGTGTGGCCACAGATTTCTCCACTTTACATTGCAAAGTGTGGGTGGAAGCTAACTATGATAGGAAGCAGGATGGTTTTGGGACATTCTCTATAGATCTGCCCCATGGTTGTGCTGTCCTGTGCTTCTCAGACAGCATCATTTGGAGGATAACCTTCAGTTCTACATTCTCTATTCCTAACATACTTTCATATATCAACCATGTTGCAAGGATGAAGAGAAAGCTCTCAGGAGCAGGTTAAAGTGCTGGGGAGGTTCCAAATGAACCCTATTATATTTTCATACCCAGTCCTTGTTTCTCCTTATTTCAAAAGCAATGGAAAGGCAATTATGAGTCATTTGTATAAAACATTAAGAATTCCATCTTGGGCTGGGGAGTGGTGGCGCACGCCTTTAATCCCAGCACTTGGGAGGCAGAGGCAGGCAGATTTCTGAGTTCAAGGCCAGCCTGGTCTACAGAATGAGTTCCAGGACAGCCAGGGCTATACAGAGAAACCCTGTCTCAAAAAGAAAAAAAATAATAAAGAATTCTATTTTGGTGCTGGAGAGTTATCCCAGCGGTTAAGAGTGCTGGCTACTCTTCTGGAGGACACAGGTTCAATTCTTAACAACCATATGGCAGCTCACAGCTGTCTGTAACTCCAGCTCCAGGGGATCCGACACCATTGCATTGTGCAAGGAAAACCAATGCACATTAAGTAA